CATAGCGAAGGAAACGAAGATGAAAACATAATTTCTTTACTTCGTAATTCATTCAATTACATGTATAATTGTTAATAACTCAAGAACAGTCAGATCAAAATTTAATTTAGATCTGCTGTCATCCGCGAAAATGATTTTGCTTTCCAGATCAAAAAAAGAACACACTCAATAATACGGCCAGAAGATTTGTATGACAATTATTTGCATTTTGTTTTGATCAAAATACATTGAGAAGTATTTTCTCGAGAAATCTTGATTAAAAAAAAATGTATTTAAAAAGAAAACGTACAATAAAATAACTAATATAAAGTCCTAATAAATTTACTTTACACTCACTTCACTAAATAAATCTTTGTAATTAAAAAACATTTTTTAACGATTACAGTTTGATTTTTGTCTTATTAACGATTTACATTTTTTTTCTTCTTATTTTCAACCTTAACAATTGTTAGTTTAGTTTTTGCAATTTAATGGAATACGCGTTAATCCCCAAAAAAAAGTTTAGCGTAAAAAAATAATACCTTTCTGGAGTTTTTATTTCATTCTACAAGTCGTCTTTTAAGGGAATTATTTTCTTTATTTTTTTTCTTTTTGTAAAAGGTTTTAAGCTTTTTTTTTATACGATCGAGTTCTTAGTGAATCAAACAATGCAATTATTATGCTAACAATATTAATAAAACGTATTTGCACAATGTACATCTTAATTATGGTAATATTCCGTTTATTAATTACTCGAGAATTGTAGACGTAAAAATATGTTCTCATCCAATTTGAGTTGCGGTTTTTGTAATTTAATTTTCTCATTTTTTTCGAATGATATCATTAGGCAAATGCTTGGACGATCGCTTTATGAAAAGACATGACTCGGTTATTGAAAATCGGTAAACAAAGTTTAAAATAAACTGAATGTTTTTGTTTTGCGAAACAAATATAAATTTATTTCCGATATAAGATTTTACGATTGTTTTCGCTTTTTATAGCCGAGCCGTTAAATAAGTAGATTTTTACGCATTTAATGGACCGTAAAAAGAAAAAAAAGAACAATACGTTCTAATGCATACCTAGGTTTTCTTAAACGGATAAGCATGTCATAAATCGTTTATCATCCGTAGTTCATTTTCCGGTATACGAAGAAAATCGGTATTGCGTTCAATGTGTACCTTTAACGGGAACGCGGGAATAACGTGGAGTCGTATAGCTTCTGTGGGAATTATTGTTTATGGTTTATTTCCGTTGTAACGGGATACACCGGGAAACACATTAATATTCATTATTCCTATGAGTTTTCCTTTGGAGGTGATTTCGTACAATGTGTACACAATTCGCATTCAACCGTGTAATATACATTAAACGCGATTATACTTGGCTTGCGACACCCTTAAACATTGTGACCCAATTTAATTCAACGTTGTCAATGCGAACGTTTAGCTCAAACCCGACCCACCCCCCGGATTGCCACCACTACGGTTTGTCTCTGGAAATTAATACTATCTGAATAATAATTAGCCCTACCTACGGTATCCGATGTCGGATGTTCGCGAGCCAACCGAAGAAAAATATTATAAAAAACCAACAGGGTTTTCTTTTTTAGTTGAAAAGCTTTTTTTCCTGCGAAAGTAACAATGTATGCAAATCAATGAGAGTTCATAGAAAAAAATATATCCACTAAATGTGATTTCATTAATATCTTTAGAGCCGTCTCCGAGAATAAGTAAACGCAAAATAATAAAATTTTATTGGCAACATTATTTTTATCAAAAGACTTTTTTTATTTTCTTCGTATTTTTTTTTTATAGCAAATACAAATGTTTTATCTTGATGCGTAATCCATTTAAAGTCCCAGTTGACAAAAAGTAAAAAATGTAAATATAACAGAACGAAACATTTGATCTGAAATCAATGAAATAACAAATAAAGCTACCAGTAATGTTATTATTTTGTTTAAGCTTTCCGCTTTCAGTTTAATAATATCATTACAGCTTAACTTTTGTACATAAATGACACTTTAAATATGCAACATGCGTTTTACATGATAATTAAATAACTAATGCAATAGGCCGTTTCGACCGAGTTCCATTTCCGTGCTCATAATTTCAATATTCAAATAAACAAAAATTAACTATACAGATTAAAACAATCATAGCGTCATATTGTACTATAGTAGTAGTGTGTAGTGTATACTTAATCTAACCTGACTTAAACTTATTAGTGTATTATGTAATAAACAAAATGATTCTGAGTGTTTCCTTTGTAAATTCATCCTTTGGGAAATGTGGCCCCTCAAATGACCACTAAACACGAGCTCAACACAACTAACCTTGGGACGGAGCATATTATTAGTATACCCTTTACTTTGACGACTTCCAGAAACCTTAATTTGTGTTATTAGTTCAAATTATAATAATTAGGATTTAATATATAAATAAACTAGGTATTATTCCTATAGAAGAAATTATTAATTACACTAATACATTTAAAAATATCTTCATGCTCGAAGTTAAATCATTTTTTTTTTAAATCAATATAACTCACGATTTCATATTGTAATTTATCTTCAACGTGAGATTACTAAGGTTTTATTACCGGTAGTTTGTCTAGTTTATTTAGCATCACTACTTAATATGCAGGGGAATATATCCTTATCAAGTTTCTGAATAATATCTTATCATTATGTTACTCTGATCGAACACACATTTGCAAACAACGTTGTATACTTTAATCAAATTCTTGGGTCTAAAATGTATAGTGAATCAACGAGGATATTAGATGATTTCAGGAGGGAAAAAAATGGTCTTCTACGTAGGAGAATAAAATTGTCGCAGGATCACTGATGGGAATACTGTCAAACCGTTTAGGGACTCCATTCACCTTACATACGTGATGTGCACAGCAATGCGTTCACCGTTGGCCAATTCGTTGGATGCTACTGACAAATGAACTTGCCCTCTGCTCCTCCTATCCCCTCTCCGCTCGTAAAATGTCACTCTTAATATGGTTAGAATTTATAAAAAAATACAAAAACCTATTGCATACAAAATATTTTTAACATTTATCTATACTTCAAAATTAAAAATTCTAGCAAACTCCTTGGTGTTTTTTTTTTGTAAAAAAATGTGTATTTACAGTGCCAGTTTGAAAAAATCATTATCAAAAGCTCTAAACAAACATTATGTCAAAGAAGCGTAGGGTTGTTTTCAAGTTTTGTAATTCCAAAAAATAACGCGGCTAGTTTATTAACAGCCGTAATCCGCAATTAACGTCATTCACTGAAAACAATTTCTGAATTGCTTACACGTGTGCAAGTAATAGAATTTAATTACATTAATTACAGGAGGTAATGCAATTAAGTTGACTATTGATCTATATAATGCAAAGACTATTTCAATTATATTTTAGATTATAATATTTAACTTACACTAACAGCATGTTCATTGAAGACCGTTATTAGTAGCCCACCAAAGATTTTGCCTCGTTTGCATCAAAGTATCAAAATTGCCTATACAGCGCGCCGTCAATATAATTAGGTTTAGAGTTCTAGGAATTGGTAAAGTTGTGTTTTTTTTTTTTTTTACAAGACAAAAACATATACTTCGTTCGCCGAGAGAACAGTTTTAAACTATGACCAACACCGTTTTGTTCTCAATTGAAAAAAATTCCGTTTTAAAGGGAAAAAAATGAAACCTACTTTGTTGTATACAATTAGTATATAGAGATTTGTTGTAAAAGGCCATCATTATTATGGATCGAAGCTTGTCCGGGAAATACTACCTATACATATAATAAGAAGATAATGTAAAATATACAAAATCAATTTTGTCACCTGTCAAAATCATTTATAAGTGCGTCTGACAGTCAAAATTATATACTTTCTTATTTTATTCGAATTATTGGTATTATTAATTTGTTTACATGACAATCTACTTTGCAGGTATGCTTATAAAACAATAATAATATATTAAATTAATTTTTTTTTATAGCTTGTGAACGACGGGGGAAATAATATAGCATATATAGTTATAAGGAATTAATAACTTCCCTTGAATAGAAAATCCTTGAAACAGAACATTTTTTTCGACTAGCTACCTTGACTTTAACTATGAATTAATACCCATTTTTTTTTAAACGTACATTTTTTCGTTAAAGTGATTAATAAAAAACATCAACTTATATTATAAAGATAAATGGCCTTGGTCGATTATTAAAAATTTTTAAGTAGTATTTATGAGTTTTTTTTTTATGTAGAGTCTGAGCAGTTTTATAGATTATTTTATCTCGGGAGAAACGTGTGCAAGTAACATTTTCGGTACGTACAATTTGCACTAAAACATTTCCTACCATTACTCCGTAGGTATTCCCCTAAGAATACCTGTCAGAGAATGGTACACACGCTTTTCGATATGATATAAGGCAATTTAAAACACCGTGAATTATTTACAAAAGAAAAACAACAGTGTGTCGTAGTGCCGTAAAAGTTTCCTACGTCGAAGCTGATAGTAATTTTGAAGAAAAAAAATGTATGACAGAGGAATGCATATTTTTTTCATTTATCTTCATACTATTGACTTACAAATAACCAGCGGCATTATAATATTATGCAAAACAATATATATTTATTTTGAACATCAAACAGGCGCGATTATGTTGGTATATATATATCTGTATACAATATATTATATTTATGTATATTATATATACCTATATAATATTTTTATATGCCTTTTTTTTCTAACTCGTATGCAAAATTTTCTATCGAGTTATTCGTTTTGTTATGAACCATCCGGGAAAATACTGGCACTCGCGGTGGTTTTTATCGTCGAAACTTTTGTGTGCTGCACAAAGTAGGGCGTTTCGACTCAATATGTATATACGCACACACACATGCGAAGAAATTTGGAAGAAAACTGTCTCGTTTGCTATGTACATTTCACATTTAGTACTAAAGTTACCAAACACTCGTCAATAACATAACGTGTGTATATACTTTGTTTTGTTGTTCACAGATTTTTTGGAAGAGCGAAGATGTATTTTGGAGAACGTCGGTCCGGATTTGCAAAACATGTACGATTCCACCGGGTTAGAGGTAAGCGTAGTGTTACTGTAGAATACAATATTTAAATATCGGTGATTGTGATATACAGCAAGCAATGATAAGTGTCGATTGTGGTAAATTTTAGGGGATAAAATTAGATAAAAACGATTATGTGTGGGAATGCTAATCAAGACAACAATAAAACTTCGATTTTTCTACATTTTTTAATTTTTTTGAGACATGAATTTCTAGTGGAAAACGATTTATGAAATACTTTTGAAACGTTTAGGTAGCGGTACAATAATATTGTAGATAATAATAATATGTAATTTCCTGTATGGTTGTGTTTTGTCAACGACACCCCGAGGCGCGTTACAAACTCTGAACGCCACTCCAAACCATTTGTCGTGCACAGCTGTTTGCCGCAACGGTGTAGGTATAATAATTACAAAATATATAATATTATGACGTATATTTGCATATGCCAAAAACACGGGTGTCGGAGAACGGGATTAAAATATTACTATTTCATCAGACCCGGCCGGGGGCGGCGAACATAATTCACAATATAGTATTCTACGACAACAACATGAATATTTGCCGTTAAGTAAGTTTATTCGGCGAACACAACCGCTAGTGTGGGACAAACTCTTTGGCCAAAGTTTGTTCTTCGACTCTCTTACAATATTCGACGGACACCTGCTCTCCGCCTTTAAGCCGTGTAACATATCAGCTAGGTATCCAATGTCTTGTAGGCAATGTTGCCTTGTAAAACGCTTATCGATGGGGAAACATCTTAAGCCGCACGTGTGCCATTGCAATAAAATATACTATTATATTATTCCAATATACGGTCGTGTCGTTCGCCTGTGATTTTCGTTGATTGTGTGCAAGACGACGAAAAACATGATTTCTTATTGAAATATATTTTTTTTCCGCTCAGGATCATCGTAATTACGCGTTCAAACGCCTTTATCGTCGCGCAATAACACACCTTTTTGGCGAATCCACGAGGCGAAAAAGTTGTAAAATTATTGACACCATAAGAGCAGAATAAAAGTTTGAAAAAAAAATCGTCATGAAAAAAGGAAATATTAAAAAAACGCCTACGCGCAAAATATTTAGGCTCTCGTTTTATCTAAAACATATTATAATCGATTTGTGTTTGTAAAACGAATTATTATACTGTTTGACTTAAACGCACGTTTAGAATATAATATGTTGCCAATACACAACAGTTTAGAAATATTAATAAATATACGTTAAATATAGCGTTTACTTAGGCTTTTTTGAACATAAATAATTTGGCGTGTCGTTTTCATAAGTCAAAGTCTCATTTCATAAGGAAATATTATTGAAATAACTAACACTCACATCATCATATACGCTCAAAAGTTTCATTGAAAAATAATTATAAAATTTAACATTAATGATGTCATGAGATTTTTAATGTCGAAATAAAGGTCTCTTATCCTCCCCTAAATAATATGTTCTTTTAAAAACCCGTATTTTGAATATAGCTGTAGACTGTATTATTGAATAACATGACGTTACTACGATTGTTTGGTTATCTTCAGTATCTTCGGTTAACATATTTCTTGTGTCTTTTTCTTGTCCCGACTCGGAAAGTCGGGCAAATCGGACAATACTATGTTTTTCCGTTTTCCAAAAAATATTATAAAAGCAATCTGGTTTACGTCAACGGTTATAAAAAATTTAAATAAATACTGGTTTTTAAGTCACCGCATACTATTGGGGTGTGTGATATTCTCGTGCACGACCGTACACGACGTTATTTTTGTACACGTCGCTATGTTGTATGTATATTTATATGCACCTATATTATTTATATGTATATATATATAGTTTTTTTTTCTTTCGACCCTGTGAGTTTTACGGCCGTTTCGCAAACCCATTCGTCGAGATCGGATCGCTCGTCTGTGGCAGACGTCTACTTTGGAAACGACAGACGGCCCGGATTTCCATGTATGCGTTTGTCGGATATGCAAACGGCTCGAATTTTACATTGTTAGGAGGGCTCGGTAGGACGCGGTCGCTGTGAATACAAATAACCGTGTTTACCGGCAGCTGGTCCGTACCGTTTTCGTTTTCCTCGGTTGGGTTATCTTGCACGGAAGACCCGGGCAAAAATTAAACGGTCTACACTAGCACACACGGTATAATGTGTAATTGCGTTTTCGCTAAAATAACTGTAAATAAAAATGCTACAAGCGGATGATATCTAAATCAGGAGGTAGGAACTCCACGTGGCATCCGATCGGGGGCGGATGTAAAAGAATGAAAAAAGAAGAACAGCTTGAAAAAAATCCATAAAAGCACTAAATAGTCATTGAGTTTAAAGTTTATACACTTTTAATGCATACAGTTTCAAGTTCATAAGGGATACAAGGGGTGAGGGGCTATTGTATGCACCCATGGATCCGATCGCATCTCAGATCAAACAAGAAATATGTTTTTAATAAGCTAACGAGCGGATGGTTAGCGAATACAAAATATCAATCCTAAAAAATTGGCTAAAATTATGATAAAATTCCATTTTTTTTTATTACCAACTATCAACGATCCAATTTTAAATCGCAGATTATTAAGCTTAGAAAAAAGTATACATGTTAACTATCGTTAATGTCAATGAGGAGAGCGGACAATGTTATCACTATTTTAACAATAATCGAATATATTATAATATAAAATAAAACGTTACCAAAGCGTTTACTACGGATAATTAACAACTAATATATGAGAATGGGTAACAATTGTGTGGATGTATATTTATTGGTGGTCGTTCTAAATGAACACAATTTAGAAATTTAAACATTTTGTAAATGATTCTTGTGGCTTGGGGAATTCCATCGATAAAATATATGTTTTCTTTATAGAAACTCAACAAAATATCAACGGTGGCGACCAACAATCGTCTGTTATTTTAAAAATGATATTTAATGACAACAGAAGTGTACACAATTTGTTAAGTTATTTTTGTTATTAACGAGCTATAAGTGTTCAAAATTAAAATGGAGGTCACTCGTTTGGCGTTGTACAGCTAAAACAACACTGACTTAACATCTTCCCGTACTCGAATAAATTACCATGGAGTACCGCGTATGGACAATTTCCGCCAAAAGGAGAGCCTAACGACCGTGAATAATGCATTTGTCTGAAAACCTATTAATAATTAGCCGAAGTTGTTTGCGGAGAGGAGGGGGAGCGGGAAAAATTAAAGAACATGAAACGGCTTTTAGCGACCACACCGCAAAATTATCTCAACAGATTCACTAGGCCGACACTCCAAAGTCCCTAACTGCCTAGCAACTACTAATATTTCCCACCAAAGTGATAATGGAACACTCTCTTCGGGTGTTTCGAACTTTGAAAATCTATATTCATTACCTGTAATCCGACACTAACGTTGAGTCCGGTCGACCTGAACACAAGACCAAACAACTAAAAAAAAACAATACTTTGCTTGAAACCACTTTACTGTGTATAAACGTGTAGGTTTATCGTCCTAAGATATAATTTTAAATATAGCAGGAACATTAGATCTTTCCCGACATAAAGACGAGGAAAAGGTCTTAAAAACGGTTTTGTCATTCGGCAAGTACATAATATTGTACCGAATCATATCATCGTATAAAGTAATGTGACAATTCCGGGCAATATATGTGATTTTATTTACGTTAGACACGTTAGGTACGTTCCTCCTAACCAACCTAACCTCCTACCAAACCTAACGAGGTTTGGTGAGCACTTTCGGGGTGGGGGGGGGGAATAAAACCAATTTGGATATCGGAATCGAATAAGATGCAGCTCGAGAAATATACCAATTTCGACGACGACGAGGTGTACAACAATAACACTCGGCAAACACACTGATGTATACAAGCACGCATACATACACGGTCGGCGGCACAAAGGACTCGGAATGTAAATAAATCAAAGGAATACGCGGAACAAAAAAAAAACATAATCTTCGAGTCCCGAAATGGAAATAACGAGCAGCGTGTCTATAGTAAGGCGTAGCGCGACGGTAATACTAGAAACGTCAATGCGGGTTAATGCAATGACATATTAACGCGCGCGTCGCTCCAGAGTTTTCCCTGTTCGGTCGGATTGCTTTTATACCCACACACACCTGAGTACGTATTTACGGTAACAAGACGTCGTCTGTTCAAAGTTTAAAACCGCCTAGGAATCGCATATCCGACGGGACAGACAGGTGCTATATTGTTCCAGCTCGATCCGCGCCCCGTTATCCAATTTAAATACACCCGGGACTGCACTACATTGTCTTTAAAAGTTTCACCAATGAAAGTTTGCTCGCGGATTTCGCGCTAAAGTCCCGTTAAACGAAACGGAAAACGTCTCGGTGCCCCTCTACCGTCTAGGGTCGAGTCTGTTCGGTGTAAATCGCCCAACTACAATAATACTTTTTTGCGGCGGATTAATGTAATTTGGGACGTTTCAAAAGCGCAGACCGCCCGGAAACTCGTCCGGGGAGCGGGCAGCGTATAATTTGATGAAATCGAGGGACCGGATTAGGACAGAGTATTGCAAAAAAAAAAAAAGCCATAGGGTTCGAATAAAAGAGGGGAAAAAATATATAGTTAATTGAGTTCGATTCGTAAGGCGGTCAACGGGTCGAGTTCGGTCGTGTCGCCGCCATAGTCGTTTTTTAAAATATATCATACGATATATATATATATATAGCCTATGTATTAAACCCAATTAAAAGCGTGAGGGGTATTATTTTTTTTTTTTTTGTCGATTGGCTTACCACCAGAGCCGTTTCGATTGCACACACACACACACACCGTTGTTTGGACAATAATCACATTATTAGTTTGCCGCCTCAAAGACATTCACCACCGCTAGTCCGCCGTTGGCCGGTCGATCAATAACCCATCGGCTGCCCGGATGATACAGTGTTTTTGTTAATGGCTCTCGGGATCGTGAGTTATTTTTTTTTTTAGAATATATCCGAAGAAAGTTATTATCTTGATTTTTAAAATGGAAAAAAAAATGAGTCGGCA